AGGCAGGCTGTGGGTGGGGCAACGTTGGTGGAGCAGAGTGCTATTTGAGGTTGCCATTAAACACACTACCATTTCCTGTGCCTCTGCCTGTGACATAACCAATTTCTCTATAATGAGAATTCCATCCTTAATAATATAAAGGCAAATGATAATAAAAACAACGGATGATTAATAAAGAGCTTCTTAATAAACTGATGGAAAGCCACCAAAGAAAAGTTGTTTTTGAATAAATATATACATAAACATCACTGCCATCCTTCTGCCACAAAGAGTATATATTTATGTAAATTTATAGATCAACAGTGAGTAGGCAGTTTATATCATAGAGTTTTACTAAGACCTTAACAAATGTGGCCAAAGAAACTCCACATTCTTTTACAACCCTTCTTCACAACCCAATGCATAATTCCTCAACCCCAAATGTAATTCATCACAACCCAAAAGTAATCCTTTAATGTATAAATGTTGCTTCAGATGTGGAGATGCTGGGCAGAGATTTGGTCATTCACACGTCCACTTCTAATAGGTGTATTCAAGGTCTATGCTCCACGTTTCATTCCTTCACTACTGATACACCTGCATCATTAATATGTGTGTTGTGTAGGGACACCCATATCTCTCCAGATATCCACATTGTATTATCTGTATCTAAAATATTGATACAAGCAATAAAATTGTTCAGCAAGTGAATAGTTTCTTATCCTACCTGACCTTTATTAATACAATACTAAGTGTATGACATATTTTATTACTGTTTATTTACTTAACCCATAGAATCTGGGTGCCTAGCTGCCCACCTGTGGTCCAAAATTGGGCATACTCGAGTGGTGGCTCTCCTGGATGTGCAACTTGCAGGACCAGATCACAAAAATAACTGTCAAGACTTCTTGCAGGTCTGCATTTTTTTTTCTTTTTCTTTTTGTTTTCTTTTTCAGTTTTTTAAGGTCTATATGTCATTTGATATTCTGTATCAAGATGGTGACAGACTCTCTATTCACTTAATTTTTTCATATTATTCATTTTTCTGTCATAGTGATTAGGAATAGGATCCTGAGGGTGGAAATAGTGTCTTCCTTGGAGCTGGTGTTCTTCCAACCATGGCTCACAGACAGTAGATTCCACCCTTGTTTACTGGTGGAAATAATGCAAGATACCCTTTTTCAATGTCTACTGAGTCTAATGTCCCTCCAAAAGCTTTGTGCACCCATGGCAAGTCAATCCCACCACCCCAGCCTTCAGCCAAATTTTTCATGATGGCAAATTCCCATGATCCTGTCCCTCAACCAAATTTTCCCATCACAGCTTATTCCCATCACAGCTCTTGGCCAATTTTTTTTCATGACATGATAGCCACATCACCCGGATGCAATTGGATAAGATTATTTTTCTTTAATGTTATAAAAAGAGGCAAAAGGGATAAGAGTTTTGTATAGGTTCACATGTGAAATTATATATTTCATGAAATCACTTATTCATGATATTGCAGTCAGAAGTAGTGAATAATTTGGATGTGAAAGAAAATGTCTGTGAATTGTCCATATGTTAATCAGTTGTCTATTATATAAATGATGAAAAATACTTCTTTCAACAATTCTGATTATCATTTTACATTACTGAATTCAAATAGGTCTGTGACAGTAACAGAATTTTTGCCTAAACATAGACAATTTAAGAACAGAAAGTTACATGCTGAGACATCCCAAGTGCATATACAATTAATTAACCCCCCCCCCCCCCTATCCGTTGCTCATTGTTGTCGTGGGGGAGCATAGGAACCAAAGACTGAGGTCCAATGTATTGATTACCCCAGCCTTGGACCTCAGCCCTCGCCTCAACTAATTTTGCAGGGTCCCTTTCTTCTCCCCTTTTTCCTTTTCTTTCTCTTCATCCCCTTCTTCTGTCCACTTATCCAGATCGTTAACACGTATTTACCCCTTTCGCCACAATGCTTTACCATAATACTGCGTAACCTCTGATGCTTGGTACATTTGTATTTTACCACTGACTATTTTGGAAATTTACAAACATTGACTTTCTGAACCCAAAAAACAAATTTTTCTATAAATAAATAATACAATTAATTAAAAGGAAATGGTAAACAAAATTCACAATGAAATCAATAATCTGTCTATAACTTCAGTTTACATAGAATTCACAAACAAATAAAAGGGGTAGAAGCTAATATATTCATAATACTTGGTGTCCAATTGGAGAACAAGAAAAGAGAGAGAAAGGAAGAAAAAAGAAAAAATTTGATAACTACCATCATCATGGCTGGATCACTACATTAGTATAAAACATTAAAGTTTTAAACAAAGTAGTCAAATTAAGTAAATCAGATTAAGAACTACTAATTGGTGAAGCATTGCAATTCGACAGAAGAAATAATAGTCTTCAAGTTAAAGGAGCAATGTCCAATGAAATATTCATATATAATCATCAGCCTTGTTTTGCCAGTCTGCCTCCCAAAGAAAAAACACTGGCAGTGCCTTCTGAAAGA